ATAAACAATTCATCAAAGTTTTATGCAAATTGGTTAAAGCGTTTTTGAGTTAATGTCCGACATGTTGACGAAGGACAAACGGACGGACAGACTGACGGACAAAGGTATACCATAATACGTCCCGTAAACGGGCGTATAAAAAACAAGTGAATCTTTGATTTACTGCTCACTTATTATACCCCCATACCCTTAAAGTATAAGGTAAACAGGAAGTTGTTGAGTGATGAATCTGAAAAAGCATGACACGGTATAGCTGACTCATATAAACTCTAAAACCTGAAATTTCAGAAATCCCTGTAATGTTCCTGAGTAAGATGCGACACAAAATATTCATGGGACGGACGGACCGACCGACTTTAGGATGTAAAGACAGAAGTAAAACAGTACATTTGTACCCCCACTTTTTTAAAGACTAAAAGTGGGGGTATACAAGATAAAAAAAAACTTGCGCACAGTGGCACAATTCATGAAAATTTTTATGAACAAAATCCCATAACTGGAATAAGTAAAATCTAAAATATATAAAAAAATCTTAAGGGAGCTAACGTTACATTTAAGCAAAGTTTCATGAAAATTTGTTTAAGCGTTTTTGAGTCATTGTCCGAAAAACGCCATAATTTCGACCCTTTATTATGAATAAATAATTATGAATACTCAAAAACCAGATATCAAAAATACCTAATAGAAATGGAAAGAAAACTTTTGTCAATAAATTCAAACAATTCACCAAAGTTTCATGAAGATTGGTGAATGCTGTTTAGAGATATTGTCTGAATGATTCACCAGCAATGATTCTTAGGCGGAGCTCCAAATACAAATATGCTTCTTTCAAGTATGTGTGATAACTGATATTTCATTTATGATTATTTTTGTTTAATTTGTGTTCATGGTGTCTGGTTTGTTTTAACTGTTACGCCTATTGGTCCATAACACTTGCATGACTTGTATGTGTTGTAATTTTTTTTGTCTCAGCGGCTTGTAGTAGACTAACATTCAGAGCAATAAGTATGAGACCCCCCTTAATCTATTGGTTCCTTAAGAGCTGTGGCCTTCTCCATTTATAAATTGATAATGTGAATTGTGTACTTTCGTGCCTCCGCACTCTGGTCTGTTGTCACAGAATAAGCAACTTTATTACAAGCGGGACTTTTTTCTGATTTTATGGTGAGAGTAGAGGTTGGTGGTGGGGGGGGTGGGGGTACACCATATGTGGTCGAGCTCCAGATTACGTGTTTAGGGCTCCTTTAAGAGCTCGATGCTTTCAAGGTAGAGATCATGGCTCTAGTCCAGCAACGTGGGTTCCGGAGAGAAGTGAACGGTGGAGCAAATGTACCCAACCAGGAATGGCAGGATACCTTCGGCTTCGAAACGAAAGTTTGAAACGAATTTAAGGGTAAATGTTGAGAATTGGCTCTTGGTATAATGCAGGAAACTTGTTTCATTCGATATTCTGTTCATTTATTGACGGGAATCGATAAATTATTCAAATTTCATATATTTGTTGCAGTCTAGTTTCGTTTTGACCACGTGTATATCATACTTGCCAACACTGAACTCGCTTTTATCTAATAGTATGCAGTTTTTCGCTTTCTGAAGCGAATGATTAACAAAACAAAGCAACGTATGTTTCCTAAATAATACATATTTGGTGGCTTACACTTACTTTTCTGGTTAGATTTTCACGTAGAAGTGAAAATAATTTTCGCTGCAAGGTTCTTTCCATTCTGCAAACTACAAACATCTTTTTGACGGCGATCGTTCACTGATTGGTTAATCTGCAAAACGAGGCGGGGTCCAAAAGCCGACAATCTCGTCAAGAAAAACAGCTATTGCAACTGTTTGCCATAATAATTATAGCACAAACATACAATATTCGTGTTTCGATACACAAATTACATCATATGAATACCTGTTTTTAGTTGACAGGCATGTATGTAATTTGATTTCATACAGTTTCATCGACAGACGCTGCTTACGGATTTTTCGCCATTAATGAATATATGAATACATAATGAGGTTCTTACGGGGTTATCTGCCCCTGACAAAATCTTATCGAAATTGCCTTAACATCGCTGCGAATGGTCGAGATCCCCACCCCAATATTCCTGTTTATCATGTCACAAACATATGAATGATATATAGGGTCAGTCCCCATGGGTTTCCCCCACCCCAAAAGGTCATATATCTTGTAAATGATTGGGAGCCCCACTCCTAAAAAATATTTGGGTCTGGTTTGAATGAAATACAGGGTAAGACACAAAGAGTCGTCCCTATCCCCTGTCATTTGAATATGTTAAAATATCTTGTAAATGGTCGAGATCCTCACCCCTAAACCATATATATTCATGTTTGTCATGTCAGGATGACTTGAATGATATATAGGGTGAGTACCAAGGGGTCCTCCCACCCCCAATGATCTAATATCTTGTAAATCATCGAGATCCCCACCCCTAACCAATATATATATATATATATATTCATATTCGTCATGTAAGGAAGATTTTAATGATATATAGAGTCATTCCCAAGGGATCACCCCACCCCCTGCCATTTGAGAAAGTTCTAATATCTTGTAAATGATGAAGATCCCCATCCTTAAGCCATATATATTCTGGTTTGTCATGCCAAGATGATTTGAATGGTATACAGGGTAAGACCAAAGGGGTCATCCCCACCGCCTGTCATTTGAATATGTTCAAATATCTTTATATGGTCAAGATCACCACCCCTTAATTATATACTGTATATTCCTGTTCGTCATGTCACGAAGATTTGAATGATATATAGGGTCAGTTCCCAAGGGTCACTTTTGCATATCACTTTACTGGACCAAACCAATTTTTACTGGACTTTGCCTAAAGTCCGGCGACCTTGGGAATGATTGTAATTATGGGAACTTTGTTTTGGAGACTTCGTAACAGCATCCTGTTAAAATCATTTCTTGTTATTGATCGATCTTCAAATTGTAGGCATTGTTTACATCCCCTTCATTTGAACTTTGGTGGATAGTTGTCTCATTGGCAATCATATTAAATCTCCTTATTTATATAAATATATATATCGAGTAAACGTATGTTGAGTTTATTTCTTTAACCTTTTCATCCATGTAGACCACAACAATTGTGATTTTGTATGAACAAATCTCGAAATAATCACAAAAATGTACATTAAGCATTGAAATTAAATCAGATGTAATCGAACTGAATGTTAAGATTTTCGTTAATTTAACATGTTTTTACCATTTAGTTGTCATATGATTGAAATCATTTTCTTTTATTTTCATAGCTCAAAATAAGTTATCGGTTAACAAACGTATGCTGCATCTAAAACAAATCCACAAATAAAACTGCAAAATTGTATTCCAAATTAGTGCTTTACGTAACCAATGTCAAAACAAGTTCACATATAACCTTGGTGTTTAGGTATTTTGAAGGACAGCTGTCCCATTTACCATCATTCAAAATATCTTAATCATTTTATATTGCATACAATTTCATATAAAATAAAATCTCCCAGTGGAACCAAAAGTATTAAATTATCATCACAGAACAGGTTATTCAAAGAACAAAGGAAATATTGACACTTTTAGAAGATGCCGTCAAATATCTAACAAATGTGCACTATTATTGTTCATATTTTATACAAAACAATTCATCATTAGGTACCAAAAGTTCTGAATTATAATGCCAGTATATGATTGTGATAACAAATATAAGGAAACGAAGATTCATATAGCTTACAAGCCATTTATACTAAAGGTACCAAAAAAATTTAATTGTAATGCAGGTACATGATATTTCATTAATTATAGGCACCTTTAGATGCCGACAAAAAAACTATCAATTGTACACTCAATTTGTTTACATAGAATGTGAAACAATCCACCCTGATGAGCTATTTAAGTATAGGTATTAAAATACCGCATTATAATGCCAGTGCATTATTTTCATGTAAAATAGAAATGTGGCATGTTTGATTGTTTCTGACAACAGTAACAGTATACTAAGATAGATTAATATTTATGTAAAACGTTCAATCAGCAAGTAGGTAATGATATAGATTTGTTTTGCTCACATTTCATATGATTTTGTGTAAAACAATCTACCCCAAAGTACTACATTATAATGGCGGTAGTATACGTTTTTTTTTTCTAAAAGAAGGACTATTGACACTCTCAGATAATAACTGTCTGCTCCTTTTGCTAAGGTATTGTGTAATTCTGATCATTGGCACAAAGACAGCTCTTGTAAAAATGTCATGAAATTTACGCTGCTGCATACATTTTGCATCTTTGAATGACAGAAGAATTTCAAGTAACCTTGATTAATGCAAACAAAACTTTAATCCTTGTGTGCCTAAAATGCTAAAATTTATGCAAAAACTGTAAACGGCGGGATGAAATAGGTTGAAAAGACATTTTACACAAACATATACAAGGTAATATAACAAACATGCTTTGCTACATTTCAACATAACTATTCTTACGTAATATCATGTAAATTTTTATTTGTCTTCAGCCAGCTTACCTCGGACTATAACATAGATATTGCTGAACTTACACAGCAGTCTTTTTAAACATTAAAACAATTCAATCAAATAAAAGCCCATGTTTTTGTTTCAATCAAAATCAATTTTGTTACGTTTCCGACATAGTAATTATCAAAGACATGTCTGCCTATACATACACATAATGGCTTCATTTGTTAACAAAAAAAAAGGAATTCTCGCCATTTTAATATTGTTCATAATGTGAAGATTTAGATAAATGCATCGAGGACCCAAAAGCAAGCTGTGTTAACGCGCGTTTAGTACAAAGTGTATAGGTCCCTTAAGTTTAATTAAAAAAAAGACAACAGTGTTCATCTTAAAGCAGAAGTAAACCTAAAAGTATACACGCGTTACTTGTTGTGTCTACTGCACATCATTTGACGTCACCTTAACATTATTTGTCATTTTGTCACACTTTTTTTCTAGCGTATGAGCATTGTTTATCTTTTAAGGTGATATACAATATCTACAGCATTTAATGAATGCAATGGAAGATTTACGTCCTGACTCGTTGGATAGAAGACAAAACATGACTTATTCATCACACAATTTCCCGATGGCTGGCACAGTATGGATCAGCGAAAAAATGATAAAAACTTCTCAGTTGATTCAAGTGAGGTCACCAATTCTCTACAGACCAACAGAAGACTCGATAACAAAAATTACAAATGAAGGAATTAAAATATTTGTCTATAAGGCAGATATATGTTATCTAAGTAACGTAGACTGCATAGTAAATCCGTCCAGTAGTAAAATGAAGGAAATCGTTGGTTTAACGAATATTGTCTTGGGAGCTGGAGAAGAAATGAAAAAGGAATGCTCACAATACATTGAAAAGCATGGAGTATTACGTGAAAAGTGTGTGTGCATTACCACAGCTGGAAATTTGACTCACTACAAGAAAATACTTCACGTAAAGGCGCCTGCACGGAATGAATATTTGACAATTGATGCAATTACAGAAAATATTTCGGCAGCAATAAGGATTTGTTTGTCACAAGCCAACATGGATAATATGACTTCAATAGCTCTTCCGCCCATTATCACATTAGGTGAGTTAATAAACAAAAAGGGTAATCTCTTGTCTTCACCAATTAAAACCTCTAATGTAATCGGTAAGAGTAATACGAATGACAATTTGTTCTGAAAATAACCAAAATAAGGTTATATAACGTTAGGAAATGTGGTACGATTGTTAATGAAACCAAATGGCGTAGATGTTAGCAACTATACGTCGTTGTTCGGCCTTTAATAGTGATGTGCAAAACCAATACAGCAAATCAAACTAAAACCATTTCAGTTGATAATGTCAAATTTAGAAGAATGCAAATCTTTAACCCAGTAGATCTGTTTACAAAATATTTTTAAAAATCCGCTTAGTTTAAAGAATAAAAATTCGTTAAGAAAAATCTCACTAAACTGTTCTAAAGTTTCGACATGGAACTTTCAAATGCGTATTGCTTTCACAGGATATGTAAACAAAAGGACTGTATAAATAAAAGATGCATGCATTATATTAATATTCAGATACAATAAAGTAAATGTAATTTGAATTACCATACTATGTGTAAAATACAGGATTTGTTTTATATCATTTCATTTGTTTTAATATAATTTTATGAATTGATTGTGTCATATCATTATGTAAAAAAAATTCTAACGTTGGTTTGAACTTGTTCTCCATAATTATCTTTTGTCCACGTTGTTTTGATTTCAGAGCCTCAGAAGACATTTAAAGTTCAATTTGAAGGCTTTTGTAATTTAACAGAAATTTCAGGCTGTGCACGAGTTTAGTTTTTAGTTTTTTTGTTTTTTTGGTTTTTTTTTTAATTGTAGGATTTAATACAGTTTGGAATAAAGATATAGTTAAGACATACCCAGAATGCGTTATGAAATATAGCAAAGAAGCAGACATGCGAAGAAATATTAAAGAAATACATTTTGTTCATACGGATCAGGCAGAAGTGGAGGCGATACATTCGGCTTTTTTGCAAACTATTCCCGATAGTTATGCTGATGAACACATTAAAAGGAAAGATAGAGCAAGTGAACTTTTGGGACATGCAGATATGAATGAGTTTCATGTTTTAAAAACGAACACGAACACGAACACGGAATCTTTGAAATTCCCAATAAGCAAAAACATTAGTCACAAGACTGGCAAAGTCAAAATGTATCAATCGATGCCTTATTTGTTTCCGGGTTTGTATAATACAAAACACTTATTATCACTCTGTCACTAAAAACATTGCAATTACCTGAGCAAAGCAAGTAAAACATATATAGAACAGTCAAAACCTGTTAATAGCTGCGTAAATTTGTTTTAATTATCAAGCATTACTGGAATCCAAGTTCTTTAAAAAAGTGACATGTCTAAGAACGATTAGTTGGCCCCTGAAATTACCAAAAGTGAAATTGTTCTTTCAAAAATAATGTTAATTTTATTTATAAATGATCATTAGTTATTGATTTACTTTAGATACGTTATTGTATATACGTTTCTGTAGATGTCCCTCTGATGCCATTAACCAATCAAATTGTCATATTTGAACTATTATTATCAGTGAAGACACTTTTTTTAACAAAACAATTAATCCATGACCTTGAAAATAGTTATGATCATGAAAACAAATCCCTGTGTGTTTTTGTGCCATTTTGAATTCGGCTTTGATTTAATTCGACTTATTGTTTCTTCCTGTTCAAGTATCCTCTAACTCTTGTGAAGGCATCAAATGCAAATATAATTCAAGTTGAGTCTGAACTTGTTATCATGAAGACACATTTCGAGAGTAACTACATTACTCATTAAATCACAGCAGAAATAATTATACTCAATTCATCTATGATATTATAAATTCAATAACATAATTTGATAATTTTCCAATTAATATTGAGGTCATTCAAAGACAGTAGCTTAAATGACTGAATGGGTGATATTTATGGCATCATTCTTTAAAAAGGTATCAAAGGTATAAACCTGCATAAAATTTAAAAAGAATGAATCGTTCATTACGAATCATGATGTCATGTTGTATTGTTTTGTACATTCACTGACCACGCAAACACACAAACACACACACACACACACACACACACAGCTGAGCTAGTTTCTTGGTATACGATCATAAAAATATTTTATATTTTGTTGAGCCTAAGATGATTAAAGGGGCAAATAATTCAAAATTTAATTAACCCCTTGTCGAGCTTATATGTATACAAAAGCTTTTTAATAATTCCATTGCAAGAGAAAAAGGATTAATTGAAATTTGGCTTATTTACCTTATGTGTACATCTTAAGTATTTTTTTAAGGAATAACGCAAACACTTTTTTTTTATTTTTTTTTCTAGATGGTTCTGAGAATGTTCCGTCAAACTGGACAGGTATGGATGCAAATGAAATGATATCAACAGTTGTGTTAAAACCACATGATCAGGAATATAAAGATGCTGTTGATGAATTCAAACAAAGATCTACAAGACATTATGACATTATCAAGGTTTGAAAGCCTTATAATTTTTACTATTTGATATGTTAACATATTTCTTTTCATATAGTGATTTACCCCGCGTTATTTAATGAACTGAATATTTATAATTTATAAATCGACTTTACTTTCCGGTTTTTATTCTGCTAGTTCTTCTGCAAATGTTTCCTATGTGCGTTAACTATTCATATAGAAACTATCGAAGCTGCCTTTATCGTCGGTGTTCCTTTCAAATACTTTCAACTCTTCTTGGTAATATCTTTATTTTCTGAATTATGTAAGTCAGTTGATTCTTAAAAAGCTTATTGGTGTCATTTTGATAATCTGAAAGGTTGAAAGAATACAGAACAAAACTTTGCACCAGCAATATATAGCCAGAAAGAAATTAATGGATTCTATCAACCCTTTCATGCACAACAATGAACGTAAATTATGGCATGGCACTACACTGGATGCAGTCGATGGTATAAATACCTATGGTTTCAACAGAGGTTATTGTGGAAAAAATGGTAAAGTACTTTATAAGTGCGTATTAACACCACAATTGATGATGCAAAATACTGATAAAAGGGGAGATAACGGGTAATTATCACTGCAACAACAGCCCAAAGACAAAAAAAGCCGGAACACAACTTGAATATAAAGTAGCTTGCATCAAGCTAAATGAACTTTGGGTTACGTAAACTCAAAATTACGACCTGTTGCAAAGAACAACTTTATCGATAAATCAAAATATTGTTAAGCAGCTTTTAAAAAAAGGTATACAATTTTTGTCCCATTGAGTTATGAAAATATAAATGTAAATGCAAAGGGAAAAATTAACGTACTTTTTTCATTAAAGTTTGTGAACTATGGTAGAATAGATGATGATTAATCAACAACTGGAATATATAAGATTTCAGCAGGGCCTCCATATGGAGTATATTTCTCCAATTTGATACGTTATTCAAGCGCTTGATACTGATATAGTAACAGTTTTCAGGAAAATATTTTTTGATTGGAAGCTCATATATTAAAGTGCACGATATATATTTTCGATATATGTCGTGTTGTAGATTAAGTCTTTTTAACTGCTCGACAAGAAATAGTATTCTATAGATAAGAATCTTTCCATGGAATCATTCAATAATCTCTGAAATCTTTTTGGTTCGTTTGATTACACATACTGAAACAGCTTTTTTAAATCTTGTATTAAATTTTTTATTATAATTATAATTTCTTTTTAGCTGCTTCCTATGGCAATGGAGTATACTTTGCCGTAAATCCGTCATATTCGACGAAGACACAATACTCGACGCCTGACCATAATAACAATAAAAGGATATATCTATGTAAAGTTCTCGTCGGCGAGTATGTTAAAGGACAACGGGGCATAAGAGTACCTCCACAAAAATATGGGGCGTCAAGATCACACATTTTATACGATAGTGTTGTTGACAATCCGTCATCACCAGGAATGTTTGTTATATTTCACGATTCTCAAGCTTACCCTGAGTATCTAATTGTGTTTAGATAATCAGACATTGTTTTCAATCAATGTTGAAATAATTAGATGCACTCCAAATTTGGAACAGTGTTACTCTGTATATACGATTATTTTGTGACATTATAAAAAGAACTACATACTAGATTGATGGTATAATTAACAAGTTATTGTTATTGAGAAATTCTTAGAGTCAGTTGAAATTCAATTACTTGTTCAAGACAATTATAACTGCTACTACTTACAGGCTGAGGGCAACCTGCTACAGCTGGGTAGAAATACAAATTAATGATTAGAGGAAATAATACAAGAATTCTCTACGCACATCAATTCACAGAACTATTTGGATTAAGAGCAAAATTTGGATTAATACAAATATCTGAATGTGAAGTAAAAAAGAATTATTTAAAAATCTTAAGATGTCTATTAGGTGAATTTTTCAATATTTCTGTCACTAGAAAATTGATTTCAAGTTTTTTGGAAGATTAAACTCTAAGTAAAAGACACATAGGTTGTTTTGACTTAGTTAATCAATTTTTTCTATTATTAAGGTACCAGAGAAATATATTATACTATCATATGACAAAAACATTGATTTTCTTTTGTTCTTTTCTAAATTATTTCTAGATATTTCCTCCTTTTAAATTATAACATATATACTTACAGACTAAAAAAATGAATACTAATACTTAAACGTTGTAGCTCGCTATAATTTTATAGTAGGGAAAAGTGAAGTATTTATTTTTTAATGTTAATCGTTATATATATCTACTTGTCCTATAACAAACCCGTATTTGATTTTTCTTACATATCAATGTTTTTTTTACTTTTTTTATTGACAGTTTTTAAATGTATATTGTTTTAAGAGTACTAAAATGAGTTTAATTCTTAATGGCTAGGAAAGTACAAAATTGAAAAGGCGAACTTTCGCAAATTTTCTTGTTTGCTTGTCATATTTTTCCGGGGATTAACTTGCTCCATAACAACAGCATTATAGCCTTCGGAATATTTTTGCATATTTTTAAAAGTGAATTTTTTATCCGTCTTCGAAATACATAGTTACCCGTAAAGGAAGATACTATGATTATTTTGACTATCGGGAAATAGAGAAGACTTGAATTAAGATATTGCAAGAAAATTATCAACTTTCTGCATCTAAATCAAGACACAGGAAAGGACGATGTATGATAACCATGTTCACCAAAACATCTTGCTATACACTTTACGTTTTACAAAATGTAGGTTCATAATGTTTTCTCAATAAACATATAGTTAGACGTAAGGGGTATGTAACAATAAAGTGACATAACATTTATATGAATTATCAATTAATGGTATAAATATTATGCGTAAGCGATATACGCGATGATATCTTGTTGTTAGCTACACTGTGCAGAAGTTTATTGTGTGTGTTGTTTTATGACATATGGTGTAGATATCGTGTAGTTCGGGATGGCACGTTTAACTGGATTAACCTTAATTAATTTTGTACTTGTACATTTCCGGCTCTCTTGACAATATGTTGTTCGTTTTTTGTCTCTGTATGATTGCTTTTTCCGATAAATTAAGTGTTGACATGTCTTGTATTGTGTGGAATTTTTAAGATCCCGTTGATTGCTGATATCCCATTTTCTGTCAAGTATGTCACCGAAGGGCCTTAAACAATGCTCAAAATCTATACAGCATCACCGGCTATAAACAAACTTAAAGACTTCTGACATTCACAAGAAGAATATTGCGGGGTTACACACGTGTGTGTGCGGTCATCCGCCCACTTATCTTGAGCATTGATGTACCAGCACAACATAAGAACATAAGGTATAATACAATTTAAAATGACTAACCTTAATGCGAAAGACTAATACGAAGCATAAAAACAAATAATATATAAAAATAGAACCAAAAGTACCAATCGAAAAGTATTAGCAGGTACTAACTAAATTTTATGCGTCCAAATCGTTTTTGTTTTTCTGGATCTAGCAATAGATATTTCCTTTCATCAGGAAAGCCGTTGAGGGGAAATCAAAAGGATGAAAAAAACATATAGCCAAATAATTATATATCTGTGTTTAATACTTGCATCCTTTGAAAACTGTTATTTGCTGTTTTTAACGCTTATTGTGTAGTATTTCAAAATAGAGATAAAGCTAGACAGCTCTAAGTTAGAAAAGGTAATCCAAATATGCTTTAGAGCGCTTGAATAAAGGCAACACTAGTATACCTCTGTTCAATAGTCATAATTCGATTGAGAAAAGGCAATTTCGGGGAACAAACTAAAACCGAGGGAAACACCTAAATAAGAGGAAAACAAAAGAACAACATAAACACTGAACCACAACAACCGGTTCGATTCTGATTAGGCAATTTTAAGCAATTGAATTACCTCACATCAGTGGATTTTACACAGCCTGCATTATTCATTACAAGTCTTTTGTAGACGAAATCTGCGTCTGGCGTACAAAATGTTAAGCCTGATTCCTATGGCGAATTTATAATGGAAAACAATAAAATTAATTATAAGAATAATACATTGTCATTGATGAAAGGTAGTTGTAAATAAGTCCTATCGAGTTATTGAGATGTTAAAATCTTATGATTTTAAAAGATATTGTAATATAAGTGATATTTTACTTGATTTGTAATCATGTAGTAATGGTAATAAATTGAGAACATATGCACTTTTTAAAGGGGTATTGCGTCTCGCATTTGAATTATACCATACTGAATCATATATTCAAGTTACTAAAGGTCAAAAAGAAAAAAATTGACAATGCATGGACTCGTTATAATGAATCGGCATCTCGTGCGCATTTAAGACTAGTATTTATCGAGGTAAACACCGAAGACTACCGATGGTCATTAACCCCAATATAAACATTAATATAAATATGGATGAATAATCAAGCACGTGCAATCGTGTAATGAAGATTCTCAAGGTCTGTTTAATTTCATGTTATAGATTAACAATAAATAAATATCATCGTTTTAGGTTGTCTGATGCTGCAAAATTAAGATATTTATTTGAAAACAACTATATTTTTTAATGTTGTGTCCTTAGCCTGCCATACTTAATTAACAAGGAGAAACAGTATTCTTTACCATTTATTGCTCTTTGATAAATGTTATATGTTGAAAGATTGATACAAACATTATCAAGATTCTCTGATAATTATTTAACAAATGGCACCTACATATATTTTACTTGTTTTATATATGATTGCTGTATTTATATGTATCTTGTTTTAAATATTTGTTGTGAATGGTAAGACTTTAATACACTATTGAACCCGAATCTACGTAAAAGAAGAGGTAACAGTAGTTTACCAATGTGTGTCAATGTCATAAGTTCATTAGGAAGAAAAACAAAAACTTAGGGAATCCTAAGAACTCCTAAAAGCGAGACCGGATGCTGAAAATATAAATAACAGAAATATCGAAAAAAACATATGAGACATAAACTATATGTAGTCAGTTCTTCAGGTAACCTTTCTAAATTGTCCGTTTATAAATTTAAAAATAAGAAAAAAAAACGTAGGTTTCAACTCAAGCTGCCTCAGGCAACGTTGGCCTTAAATGTATTTTGTTGTTATCTTAATGTACTTTTTGGTCATATAGCTTCGACATTGGGCGTTCCTGATGAAGGTAAATTCAGAAAGGCACTTCAGACGCAGAAAATTTGTTGTTTTCAATTTACTATAAATGTCGGCTTTTTTTTCAAGAAATGTTATTTGTTTTTGAAGATAATTTGGTACATGAATAATATTGGCTAGAGTATAGAAATATGGTCATCCCTTAACTTCTCCCGTCTGGCAATAAACATTTGCTAAATTGGGCGTCCCTTGACCCGTGCGGGATGAACTGGTTTTAATAAGCAGCCGCAATCGGTCGGTCTCGGAGGAGTAAATTCCGATGCAAAGGTCCTAGTACGTTAGAGAACCCTGCAATTGATATCTCAGGTGGAGGTACATTGCCTGTTGTAATACTTCTGCCTCTATCCATAATGCCCTAATTTTTAAATGACAGTCCATATTTCTCGACAATTAATTCAGTCGACATACATTACAAAGCCTTTTTATTGTTTTGATTGGTAATTTTTTCTCTCCCTGAATATGTTTGATACATTTTTGGCACTAGACGTTAAATAAATAAGAAATAATCAATTTGATTTCAGTCTGAAAGACAATATACCTTCATGGGCGATTGCGTTGAAGAAAAATATGATCAACAGAAATGTTCAATTGTTTTATCGAGCTAAGAAATGCTCATAATAAGTGTCAAACTATATTATATGATTGTATGACTATATGAATCCACCTCATACTATTATCTCGTTAAATCGGAATTTATAAATAGAATAGGTGGCGTTTATTTGTTAATACTGCATACAGAATATATATCTCCCAATGAGTACGATGCTCCAGGGCTTGTAGTTCCTATTATGATTTCCTCGATAGAAGTTGTTGTTCACAAGGTACCTGTCAAATCAAGAGTTTCAAGTGTTTAAGTTGAAATCATCCCTTCGTAAATTTTACGTACGCAATAAAGATTTGGTTGATCGTTATGGAATATCTGTTTTACAGATGACAACAGATATGTTCCGATTGTCGTAATCACAAACCCTTCCTCTTTTACCGGAATGTGACCTACCGAATTAGACTTATCACCGGGTGTGTACTTACATAAGCACACGACGAGTGCCACATGTGGAGCAAGTTCTGCTTGCCAGTCCAAAGCACCTGAGATCACGCTCGGTTGTGGTGGGGTGCTCGTGGTCAGTCTTTAGTTTTTGAATGTTGTATTTTGTGTACTGTTGTCTGTCTTTTGATCTTTTTCTTTCTTTGCCATTTAGTCTTTTTCTTTATTTGCCATGGCGTTGTGAGTTTATTTTCAAATTATAAATTTGAAAGTCCTTATGGTATATTTCGTCTCTCTTTTACTTGCGTGTTACCATAACCTATTTGTGCTTTATAACTTCTACTTCAAATAAGTTTCACCGTGCCCTTGTCCATATTCAGAGCTTTCTGACACTGATCATTCAATAGAATACTTTCGAGTTCGTTGTTTTTCCGTCAAAAACTTTGGTTTTAGTGAACATCATTCGTGCGTTTAAGGGGCATCGTCACTTCCTTCCCATGTTGAGCGAGCCGTTGAAAAAATATGATGCTATATCGCATGAATTATTCGGCAAATTTAAATCTTATACTAGTAATTGATAATCAGCAATGCTGTCCATTAGGGAATTGTGATTAAAAACCTACGAAACAAACATTATTTCTAGTTTGTCCTACATAATCAAGATCACGAAGACGCTTGTTGAACTTTAATAGTGCAGGGATACAGGCGATCCCCCTATCTGATAAATGACGTCATAAAGGAGCGCATATTTGAAGAACTTTTCCAGTGAAGGACATAACTCAAAAGTGGTCTATTAAAAAAAACATATACTGAAATCGGCCAAAAAATATGTTTGTGTCTTTGAATCATTTGACAAACTTATAATTAGATATTAATGAAAAAACACAGACATCTGAGATGGGGGATATTTGTATTAGTTAAATATTTACTTGTTTCAATTATTCTTTCAGTTAGAGTCAGGGGATTAAGCAGAGGTACTCGCTTGACAATGCTATAAAAAAGTTATAAAAATTTCGAGTCTAACATAATCAAAAATTTACATTTAAAAAAAAAATTTAAAAGTTGATTATGTTGCATCGACTTATTCCTACTAAAGCCACTTTAAGCTTTTGCATCTTTACCAATTATATTGCGTGTTCTACCTAACCACATAAAAGCATCCTAGTCATTCGGATAACTCTGGAGATGCCGAATGAACGGAGGAATCGACTCTGCCTCATTGAAATTGGCCAATAGTGATACTCCAACACATAAGATTTCCTGACAGGACATTAACACTTGTGACGTAGATACTATGTCAAATTACAGTCGGAAGATAAACCAACGAAAATACAACTAGTCTCTATTTTATATTTATAGATCTTTGTAATTATTACGTTCTAATTTAACCCCATGTGCTATTACAGACTATTAACTTAGCCTTGTTCCGTGTCTAGTATTACGTTTATCTCATTGTGATTGCAGTCATGCAAAGAATAATACATAGCTGAAATTTAAATTACAGTTTGAAGGGAAAACAGTTAAATGACTATATGCTATATCGAAAATTTTGACCTGGCCATGGTTACATCGTTTGAGAGTAGTAAAATTATATTTTCCCTTTTCACATACTCATGGTAAATACAGTACGCAACGTTTACCTAAATTTAAATTTAAACAAATGAAACATTAAACGAATGA